CAAATCTACGCATCTGCTCAAATTAGAGGCGTAACCATCAGGAAACCGCAGCTGTTTAACCCACTCACACAAAACTTTTCTCTGAACCTTGTCAAGAGCGAATTGAGCCTTTGGCATGAACTCTTTTCCTCTATCATCCTCCTGAAGATGAAGCTGCGACCGTTTACAATATTTGACAATGTCATTTCGAGCTGATGGCGTGTCACATGTATGCTTTTTTACATCCATTATAGTGTGAATTAACTGATCAAAGAAGTTTTTTTCAATGTGCATGACATCTAAGTTATGACGAATGAGCAGATGCTTCCAATATGAAAGCTCCCACAGTGTACTTTGCTTGAACCACCCCTTTTAAGCTTTTTTGAGGCGTTTAAGTGCCTTGGGCTCCATCTGTAGCCTTTAGAAGGTCTTTCACATATTCCCATAGTTCCTCTCCTGACATGATGTGTGGAGGTGCACCTTTTCCAACTTTGTTTTTACAAAATGCAGTTCTACTATTCCGAAAAGGGTGATCTGTCTAAAGAAATTGGCACCATGTTCGAGCCAAAATGCTTTGCTTTTTCTCCATGCAATATGGACAAGCCTTCTTACCACATGTGGTCCAACCAGGCAACATACCATAAGTCGGGAAGTTACTAACGGTCCATAAGATGGCTGCTCGAAGATTGAAATTTTGTTTCCTCGAAATATCGTAAGTATTTGCGCCAACTTCCCATAATTGTTTCAAATCTTCTATCAATGGTTTCATGTACACATCCAAGTTACCCTTAGGGTTTTAGGACCAGGAACGAGCAACGAAAGGAACATGAATTGTCTTTTCATACACATTGAGGGAGGCAAGTTATAAGGGGTCAAAATGACAGGGTAACAAGAATATTGTCCCCCAAACTTACCATGAGGAGAAAAACCATCTGTACACAAGCCAAGTCGAACATTATGAGGCTCGGAGGCAAACTCTGGAAAGCAACTATCGAAGTGTTTCCAAGCTTCACTATCACTAGGGTGTGCCATTGTGCCTTGAACTTGAGGGTTTTTCTATTGCCATGTCATTTCCTCCGAAATGTTCTTGGTTGTAAAGAGTCTTTGCAACCTGGGTGTGATCGGGAAATAAAATAAAACATTCAAAGGCACTAAGCTACCTTTAGAAGTCTTCTTGTATCGATCGTTGCCACACACCCTACATGTAGATAGCTGAGCATCATCCTTCCAAAACAACATACATCCCTTTGGGCATGCATGAATCTTTTCATGAGGCAGCTTCAACCCCTTCACAATCTTCTTCACCTCATAGAATGTGTCGACCATATGGTTGTTGTTAGGAATCGCTTCATTGACCAAGAAGCAAACCCATCAACAAATCTGTGGGGCAAATTATACTCGCACTTTTGACTAGTAATTTTAGCAGCCATCTCTAACACAGACAATGAACTCCCTTTGTATAATGGTTGTTCAGAATCCTTCAACAAATCCAGAAAATGCTTGGCTTGTGCATTAGGCTCCTCCTCTGATGAAACACTAGCCTGTTCGGAATGCCCTTGATATTGAGTATGGCCAAAAGCATCAAAAACCATTTCACGATATTCATTGGACCGCCGTTCAGGAACTCCTGGAAACTCTTCCCCATGACAGATCCACTCATATTAATTAGGTACAAAACCCTTGCGATACAATTGAATTTTAACCGTTTCCGCATCCCAAAGTCGTTTGTCCTTACATTTAAAACATGGACACCTAACTTCATTCGGGTTACTAATCTCAGGATGATCTTTGACATACTGAATGAATTCATCAACCCCTTTCACAAACTCTGGATTAATGCAATGCCCAACCTTCTTTTCATACATCAGCTACGTTCTGTTCGTTTCATGATTACAACTTCTACACAACCCACGCATATGTATAATTACACTAGTCACAAAGCGTATTTAATATTCATTATCCATCAAAGTGTTATGGAAATGCAAATGAGATCTGAAATGATATCCAAGGGTTGTTATCACTCCAACCTAACCCATTCTTGTACGTTTAATCCCACTAGTGAATGTAAGCCAGGTTTTCAATTCTAGAAAAATTCGGCAACATTTCCCAACAGTTCTCCAAGTACACGATGTAGGCGATTAGATACACCTACATATGTACCCAGAGAACATTGTAGAGAAATGACAAGCGAGGATATCCCCTAGAATCAATAACAAGGCATACATTCACCACCTAAGTGAGAATAAACGTACAAGGACAGTCCCAACCGGGGATTATTCAAGACATACTCCTAATGTGTATGCCTTGAACGGGTATCTAGGCATATGATTATGCAAATGATTCATTTACAAAAAATATATAAACTAAAGGACACATGCATTATATTAAACAAATATATCATAATTAAACTAAACTAAACAAATATATTAAACATTATATAAAACAAATATATTAAACTAAATAAACTAACATACATTATATTAAGCTAAACTAAACTAACATACATTATTATATTAAACTAAACCAAACTAAACTAACATATCATAATACAACACATTCATTTCAAATTTTTAACATATACAAGCATAAAATACAACAAACATGTATACACTACACTAAAAACAATGATAAACTTACATATATCTATATACAATTAGTCACTAACATGCCATGTATAAACTAAACTAAGAATTTTAGGGTATATAATGCCACTAACCTCTAGATCTGCACTTTTTATTGACAATTAAACCAAGTAAATCTACAAATCCTACAAATAATTACAATTAGAAACTTAATTAGGGTTTGCAATTAAGTAAACAACTTAAATTGATTTAGAAAACATGGGAGAAAGAACTCACCAAGGGTAGAGGAAGATTCGGTGATGGCTGCCCGGAAAACGCCGTAGAGGAGGCGTTAGTTTTCACTGCAGATGGAGGTGATGGCGGTTCTGGACAATTTTAATTATTTAAATAAATAAAGGGCGAGTCTTACCGGCTGCACAACGGTGGGAGGATGGAGGTGGTGGCGGGTCTGGTCGCAGCGACGAAGGAAGAGGTGGATCCTGTAGAAATGGTGATGGTGGTTAGGGTTTAACGGAAAAAAAAAAAAAAAAAAAAAAAAAAAAAAAAAAAAAAAAAAAAAAACCAAATACAAAATTTATTAAACTTACCAAGCGGCGGCCCAGAGGTCACAAGGCGGCGGCAGTGAGACGCCGGTGGTTGCGGGGAAACGGCGCCCCCTTTCCTCTTTCCCTTTCTCTTTCTCGTTCTTTCGTCGGTCTCTCTCTCTTTACCCTATTCTTTCTCGTTCTTTCCCTTTCACACAACAGCGGCGGTGATACGCCGATGGTTTCGGGGAAACGGTGGATGTGAAACTTCCGTTTCTCCTTCTCTTTCCTTTTCTTTCCGTCGTTCTCTCTCTTCACCCTATTCTTTCTGGTTCGACAAAAGAGCAGATCTAAACTCGTTTTTTTTTTAATTAAATACTTTCCGACGGAATAAAATTCTGTCGGAAATCAAAACTTCCGACGGAATATTGTGTCGAAAACTATACTCCGACGGAATAAAAGTTTTGATTTCCGATAGAATTTTATTTCGTCGGAATTATTGCGAGAGATATTCCGTAGGTACGGCTAAATTTCGTCGGAATATTCCAACGGATTAAAATTCATCTGAAATTTCGAATTTTCCGACGGAATTTGAGGTACGTCGGAACGATTTCGTCGGAAAATGGCCTTTTTCTAGTAGTGACCCTTGTTGATATTTGTTTTTGGTTTGGGATTTTTGCAAGAAAGGAGGTTAACGTTGGGTTGACCGGAGGGAACGACGAGACTCTTCGACCTGCAGATGTGTTAATTTATTCATGGGACAGAGGCCTTGATGTATGTTGACTTGACGGGGTCTTCTCCTTTAACACAATTTGGGTTGTCGGACTTCATACCTAGTTGTGTTGTGTTGGTTGCAGCTCAGCGGAAGCGGGACAAGTATAGGGCGCGTTGCAAGGCTATTGGATATGGTTTTCTCCCTTTCTCCTTTTCTTCATTGGGGGAATTAAAGAAGGAGATTGTTGCGTTGCTGAAGCGGGTTCAGGCGTTTGCTAGGACTCAGGATATTGGTGCTTGTGCAGCTGCTCACATCTTCAATAGGATCGGGTTTGTTATACCTAGAGGGGTGAGAGCCTTGATTGTATCTCGGCTCCCCACTAATTTCTTGTAATTTGGTTGACTTTGTAGGTGTTTGTTATTTTTCATAATAATAATAATAATATATTGAGATCGGATCAAGAAACAAGAAGCAATGTACTTCTTCCGTTTCTTTTTAATTGCATCACTTTTCTAAAACGAAGGTTTTAAATTAGTTGCATCACTTTCCTTTTTAGTTAATAAATAAACTCTCTCTATCTCTCTCGTTCCTATATATCACATCGGTCTTTTTTATTATTAAATCTATCTCTGAACTCTCTCATCTCTAAAAATGGACTGGGAGTCCGCAATGTACAAAATGATGTAGCTAAAAAAAACGGAGGAAGTATAATTATTAGCTACTTAGCTAGTTAAGGCTTATAGGCTTATACCAAGATTAGAGTAAGGTACGTAGGGAATTGAGAAAATAAACAATTGCAATAATGTTGTGTGCATGCCTCCCGGCCAACGCTATAAATATAGTGTTTCTTCTTGCATGGTGAAGGCAAGAAAATAGCCAAAAGAATTACTTGTAGGAGTCTAGGAGATAAACAAAAGAACCAATAATTTTGGTTGAAAAAAAAATTAAATAAAAAGCTAAGTATGGTGGTCTCCTTAGAAATCTTACTATTGACAGGTTTATTTGTCATCTTTCTCATTCTTCTTCTTCTTCCAAAAAAACCAAAAAACAAAAGCTTACAATCCTCCTCCCGGTCCAAAAGGGCTTCCTATAATCGGAAACCCCCGCCACTTTGGCCCCTCAAATACAAATTTCACCCATTTTTATGTGTTAGGCAAGACCTACGGCCCGATTTTGATGCTTCAATGGATGAATCAATCAATGATTGTGATTCAATCAGCAAAGTTGGCCAAAGAGGCATTGCATACGAATGACAAATGCATATGCGATAGACCAGTAACAACTGGTAGAAAAAAGGTTACCTATAACTTATTAGACTTAGGGTTTGGCCCGTATAGTGACTATATTAAGGAAATGAAGAAATTAATTTCTACTCATTTCATAAGCTCTAAAAATATACAACCTTTTGCTATTATTCGAAAGGAAGAAGTCTCAAGGCTTATTCAAAAGGTTTCTTCTCTGTCTTCTGCTTCTAAACTCATCAACTTAAATAAATTGGTTATTAGTTATGCAAGCACAGATGCAAGTAGGTTCAGTTTTGGCAAGAGGTACGTCTGCTATTTAATTTGTTATACGCCAAAAATTTTGTTTATTACGGAGTACATGCATATCCTAGCCTAACTTAATTGCATTGCAAGCATGCATATGTAAGGTTGCAAGCAGGGTTGTTAACAAGCCGATCGAGCCTCAAGCTTGACACTTCATGCTGAGCTCGAGCTTCGAAATCGATTTCCAAACCCCTAGACATGAGCTCGGCCTAGGGCTTGATCATCTAGCCTTAAATGTACCTGTATTTATCAATTTATTTTAATTGATGATTCGCTTTCCTCAAATATGGCCCAAATATGACAATAACCCTTAATGCCCACATTATAATATATTATTTTAGGTTATATATTGTTTTATAAAAATATAATCGACTTTTTCACGAGTTTTCAAGTCGAGTTAAGGATAGCTTAGACTTAGCTTCTTAAGATCTTGAGTCAGAACTTGAGCTTGATTCGAGCACCATAGAGTCAAGCTATGACCGAACCAAGCAACGAGTAGTTCACGAGCATTTTTGGCTTGTCAAACCCCTAACTGTTAGTATTATTCAAATTTTATGGTCTATATATTGATATTACTAATTTGATTAATACTCCTTGATACTATATGCCATATATGGTCCATTTTAATTTCCGTATAGTTTAATTAATCAAAAAGTACATACTATATAGATCTTAAAAATTTATACTTTAGTCAATGAAGATTTGAAGTTGACCATAGTAATCGATAACATGCGCATTTCACAATCATGAATTCATGATGGTACAACTGTAATATAATGTTTAATAACTTGTATATTTTAAAAATCTCATATATTGACCTAAGAATTAAGAAAAGTAGTGATGATTAAATCTATAACTTGTTATTATTCTTATGCCATTATTGCCCTATTTTCACTTCAATTCTAGTCATTTAGTATTTCGATTAAACACTATAGTTATGTATACGTAATCGGGTTTAGGTAGATCCAGCGGGTTATTAGATTTAAAATTAACATGACATTTTATTTTTACTAACGATATCTATTAATTATCTAATAGCCTTAATATGTTAAAATGTTTCCTATGTTTGATTTGCAGGTACAATGCCGAAGAAGTGTTAGGAAACAAATATCATAGGCTTCTACATGAAGTTGAAGATATGTTTACAGCTTTCTTCTATAACGATTATTTCCCAATTTTTGGTAATTTACTTGATAAGATCACTGGAAAATCTTCAAGGCTTGAAAGGATTTTTAAGGAATTAGACGCTTTTTTTGAACAAATCATCAACGATCATCTTGGTGATAACAAGCTTAGTTCAGAGGACGAAGATGTCGTTGATTTTCTTCTTCGACTCATGAATGACAATTCCTTTCCATTTAAGATCACAACGGACCATATTAAAGCAATTTTTTTGGTAATTTAATCTGACTTCTTACAATATTTCTTTTGAGTTTTTACACTGGTTTTGTTAAAGCTAATTATATAACTTAGTACAAAGTGAGTACGTAAGTTGTGCTAAAGTTAAATCTGAGCATTAGTTTGAAAAAGATGTGGAATTTAAATTTATAACACATTAATTTTTTATATTTTATTATTTTTTTTTTTAACGGTATTACATATTGAATTTTCTCCATGTATTTTTCTTATATTAAACAATCAAAATTTTTAATAATTAACTAATATGGGCCGGGGTACTCTACTGAATATAATTTATTAAAGACAAGTTGTATACTTCGTATTAGAAAACACGAAAGCTAATGTAAAACAACAAATAACAATAGAGCTAAGGGATGCAGCACAAAAAAGGGGTAGTATTTGTATAGAAGAAATCGATCTCCCAAAGCTTGAATATTTCAAGGCAGTAGTGAGGGAAACATTTAGGCTGCATCCCCCAGCACCATTATTAATTCCCCGAGAAGCGGTCCAAAAATGTGTTATAGGAGGATATGATATACTACCAAAAACTAAGGTTTTTATTAATGCATGGGCTATTGGACGAGATCCTGAAAATTTTATGCCGGAGAGGTTTCTAGGAAATTCAGTGGATGTTGTCAAAATCGCGCTAGAAAACGAGGAGGCCCCCATTTCTCACCATGAGAAACATTTTATGTTTCTCATGGGGGTATAATCGACATTATACCTCATATAAGTCATTTGGTGGATGGGTGATGTGGCCTCATTATTCTGACGTGTTTTACTTGGTTTGCCCAGCTGTATTTATGGAGTTTTCACAGTGACGCCGTTAGCTTCATCGGTAATGGGGTATTCCTGAAGACTCGAAATCTGGGCGAAACTCAAGTCGAAGAAGGCACGGCTTCCGGGTTATCAATTCAAGTGGAAGAGCTGGGCGAAACTCAACTCAACTCGAAGAGGTCCCAATTCGAACTCTTGGTTTATCCGGGTTGTACCCCATTCATGTTCAATTCGAACTTGGGTTCTTTTTTTTTCTCAATTCGAACTTGGCTTGTTGTTTTTCCGAATGTTATAGAGTTAAGGGTCGATTGTTCAGTACGTCGATTGTTTCAATTGACAGAATTATTTCGGCCAAGGCAGTTCGGATTTTTTTAGGGTTCGTTCGGATTATTTCAATTGACATTATTTGCAGAATTATTTCATATTGACAGAATTATTTGCAGATTATTTCAAGGCAGTTCGGATTACTTCGACTTTAATTGTTTTAATTTATTATATTATCTGGAATTAAATAGTGGAATTAGATGCGTTATGCTGCTCTGAAATGATGGAATGAGGTGAATTTTGCATTTGAAATGTTCATTTGATGGAATGAGGTGAATTATTCATTCATTGGTGCTCATTATTTGTTCTATATATGTGATATTGTGTTATGGTGTGAAATCGTATCGAGTTTCGATTTGTTATGATTGGTTGTGGGTAGATTAGATTAGATTAGATTGAGTATTGTGTAATGTAATTAACACACCGTATTTGATGTATTTGACAGGATTACGAAAATGTCAGCGGGGAATGGTAAGCGTAAACGTACATTGGTGAGGGTTTTTGGTTTTTTTTAGATATATTCTTAGATTTTTTAGATACAATGGTGAGGCTGGGATGTGATTTTGTTTTGAATTATGGTTTTATGTTTTGGTAACGAAGGCTGAAGATGATGAAGAGGGGTATGGGCGCAGTAAGAAGAGTAAGGTATGTGGGCAGAAGACCATGCATTTGTATCCGGAATTGTTTAAAGTACTACAACATGGAATTCTGTTCGGTGCGTTTGAATTTGGTGTTTTTTGGTGTTTTTGCATGATTAAGGTTACTGGTGTGTGCTTCTTAGGATGACGGATTAAGTTATGGAGGGGCTGTCAAAGGTAGAGCGGAGGTGATGGCTGAACATTCAAAGGCCAGAAGCCGGGTAAGTTTGCTTGTTGATTCAGTTGTGGTCATTGGTGTGGGATATTAACTTAATTACTAATTTCATTGGCAGCCTCCTAACATGAGTTGCCGCATTGAGTCATTTGGGCGCATATGTCAGAAATTTGACGACAGGAGAAGACGTTGGGTTTGTGAGATGGGATTTGGTAGCCTTTTACATCTTGCTTTAGATATGCATTTACCAAGACAATTGGCATACTAGGTGATGACACGGATGGATCCAATCAGTAAAATACTTAGAAGTACCAACGGTGTTGAGTTTAGGTTTTCAAAGAATCAGGTTCGGTGGGTACTAGGGATACCAATGGGTCCTAGGTCTGTTCCTTGTACTAAAACCATGACCGAACGTGATCATGAAAAGGTTCAGAGAATTTTTTTGAAGTATGGTAAATCGTGGGAGTCCAAGAAGTCTGTTGGACAATCTGGTCAGGTATACACGTCTGTAGGCATACCATTAAGTTCAGATATGATGAATCGGTTGGAGGGGTACTTTGATGCTGGAGAGGAAGAGGAATTCAAGACGTTGTTCTTGATAATTGCTTTGGAGATGGTGTTGTGTCCCACGCAGTCCCCCCGGCTTGCGTCTGACCTACTACCTGCAGTAAGTTGTGCTATGGAGGCAACTGAGTATGATTGGTGTTCTTTAGTGTTGTCGAAGTTGCTGGATAGCGTTCAAAATTTTGCTCGACGTTTCTATGCTAACGGGTTTGCCAGTGGATGCGGCGGGTGTGCAATATTTGCCGTAGTAAGTGTTTCAGTGTATTCTTGCTTGTTTTGTTTTTCCTTGTGTGTTTTGTTTTAGTAATTGCTTCTTTTTCTTTTACAATTTGGCAGATATTTTAGTGTTCTTTAGTGTTGTCGAAGTTGCTCAGAGTCTTCATATTTAAACATGACTCACTCATCGGCCATTAGTTCATCAAGACGTTTCTGCTTCACCTGTGATCAGCAAACTTAAATGGTCACTCACCGGCCGTTAGTTAAATGTGATATAAATAATCACTGGAAGTAGAATGACATAAACTTGGTCCTTCATACTTACAGGTCGAGAAGAAGTTTTTGACTTCCCCTCGATTGGAATGCCCTTCCCCTTTTTCTTCCCCTTTGTCTTACCTGGTTCTCCCGTTCCTGCCTTTTCCTGCATCCTCCTCAACACCATTTCCTGCAACACCATTTCTTCCTCAACACCATCTCCTGCATCCTCCTCAACACCAACATCATCTCCTGCGTCCTATAGAATAATAACAGCAATCAGAGAGTGAATAGAATAATAACAGGATAAGCAGTTATTGAACAAAGAACAAAGCATAAATCTTAACAGGACTAGGCTTCTTATTCTTGTTGGTTTTCTTGTAGCCAGTTTCAGCTAACGTTTTGTGCCTTGAACCCTTAGGCCTGCCCCTTTTCCGTTTCTTAATTATAGGGTCTTTGAGAACTGGGTCCATGGCAGCTGGACAAGGGTCTCCGGGCTCTGCAGGAGCAGTAGGAGCGGGATTCCTAACTGAGGAAATCGTTATGTCTTCACCTGCTGATGATGATAGTGTACTAACTACCGGAACATTCTGCTGACTCTTCTTGTCCCTACGGTCATTAACAGCTAATTGAAGCTTCGACAGTGTTTCCAATACCATATGGACCGTTTGATCATCCACCATGGCAGCGGTTTCACATAAGGGCTCGAATTTTCCCATCATTTTGTTGAATCTCTTCACAGTGACAGTGTCGCCCGGATCATGGTAGGCCACCTTCACCCTAGTGTGCTTCCGGGGTATGTCCTTCCGCCAACGGGCTACAATGTACTTCTCTGGCAGATCTTCAACCAAGTTTTCATCGAGAATCCTAATACAGTGTTTGCAAAGTATGCCACTTGTCTCGAACTTCCTACAGTCACACTGCACCTCATTTGTCGTTTGAAAGAAAGTAACATTGTAGGTTCTTCGCCTATCTGTAATGACATCCTTACTGCCACCGGGAGGTACTATCCATACACGATCGACCACCGAATACTGAATAAGGTTTTCAGACAACACCTTCTCTCCTCGGACGTTGCAATACATCATTCTCGTACACTCCTTTTGAACTTCTTGAAACTTGTTGTCCGTGTATAACTTTTGAAATATTTTTTCCACTTTGAAGCCACTAACCAACCTCCTAAGTTACTTTGAGCAACGCTCATCTGCACTCACTTCATCTCGAACGCGTTGATCCAAGGCCTTGCAATACTTTTCAGGAAACTCATGTAGTTTGGTTTTGCGGTTAACATAGCCATCGAAAAACCGATTGATGCTCTCCACCCTTTGTGTGGTCTTCATACCAGCCCAAAAAAACTCTTTCATGTAAGCAGGCACCCACATACGACTCTCTTTGTGTAGGCTTTGAAGCCATTCATTGTCCTCCAACTTATACTCGGCTATAAACTCTGCCCTTCGGGTTTGGAACTCCTCGGGGTCAAAGCTCTCATACACCAACTCTTTGAGGGGGTTGATGAACTCTTGGTAACTAGACAAAAATGACCAACGTTAGAGTATAAAACAGCATTTTAACTCGCAATTTTACAGTCTGTTGAAAAGTCAATAGCATGTCTATCAGCTTTTACTTGAATTTCAAGGCCTCTGTTTTAATAAGTGATTCAGTTTATTCTTCCTATGAAACTGATCTCAAGACCTTGAGATTTCAGATTTGTATAAATTTAAATTGGCAGAATATCACAACATACCATGCACACTTGCCAAGTTTCTCAGGGATCTTGCTCATGATATGCCATATGCACCAACGATGAACCGTGTTCGGCATGACTTCAGCTAGGGGCCTCCGCATAGCTGCCGCTTGGTCGGTCAAAATGGCTTTAGGAGCTCGGTTGTTCATGCAAGCTAGCCACTGTCGGAATATCCACGCAAACGTATCGCAGTCTTCATGTGAAACAAGAGCACATCCCAACAACAACGACTGCCCATGGTGGTTCACACCGACAAAGTTCGCAAATGGGAGCTCGTACTCATTTGTTAGGTATGTCGCGTCGAAGCAAACCACATCACCAAAGTCCTCATAAGCTACCCTACTTCTTGCATCCACCCACAACACATCCTTAAGCCTCCCTTCTTCATCCAAACGTTGAGCATGGAAAAAAATTTGGTTGCCGGATTGCATTTTTTCAAAGTACTCCATCATTGCCACCGAGTCCCCTCCAACCATCTTCAACCGTCTAGCCTTGTACACCTCATGTTGTAAATCTTTGACGGTGAGAGCCATGTTACCGTTTCGTTCGGTCGCCATGCAACCGTGTATTTGAGAAATTGGTAAACCTTGCTCATAGAAATCCATCAGCTTCTTCTTCACTGTTGAGGTCATTTGCTTCATGCGGTACTCCTACCCAAGCTTAGAATTTGCCGGATCAACCTTGTGATTATGCTTTAAGTGCACTGTCTTCAACACCCACATGCCCTCTTCATTCACTCTAGCATAAACACGGGCCTCACATTCACACATTTTCGAAGTCCTCTTCCTACGACTTAACTCATCCTCACATACCACCCCATCAACTAAACCACCTGAACCTCCAACACCCATTGCCTTTGCCCTCTTCTTCGCTTCCCTCCTAGCCCTCATGTCGGGTTTACCCCAACACTCACACCTCCACGTGCTTGCAATTCTTTGTTTGTCCGCCGTCTTAGAATTTACGCCTTGAACCCTTGACACTCCAAACCCCATCTGCTCAGCATACTCCTTATAGTAGGCTTCAACCTCTTGCCAAGACTGGAAAACCATCCCTTCCTTAGGCTCCTCAACAGTTACACGCATTTTGTTGCTACCAACCACAGTGTAAGTCGTATGAATTGTTTTCACGGGGGATAAATACCTAACATTCATATTCATGTCAGCTGCACCAACACCCTCAGCACAACTATCTGCAACAACTATGTCTTCTATACCCTCCATATCATTGCCCTCCTCCTCCTCCATATCAACATTACTCCTAAACTTCACGACACTACCACAATCACCAACACCAACCTCACTGCCCCTAATAACGCCTTCAGTTTCCATTTCCATAATATCGGTCATAATACCAGTCTTCTCCATCAAAAACAATTCACCCTTCAAATACAGAACACGAGCATAATTACAATACAAATTAATAGTAGAACACCAACATAATTACAATACAAATAAAACCAGTTAATCAACCAAATTACAATAAAAATAAAACCATTTAATTAACAACACGTTTTCAAAGCACAAATTCGACCCAAATACAGAAATACAACCAACCAACACAAATCAATCAACCAGTTGAACAACCACCAAAGTAATACAGTACAACCAATCTTCAAAAAATAACAGGAGGGATTTGTTTCAAACGTACGAAGACAACACATTATCAAAAAAAGTATGAATTGCATTTTCAACAAAATCATTCGGCCATTTTCCAGCAACCTCAGACCCCCACCCATTTTAAACAGAGCCATTAACCTCATAATACCATTACTTTCGACTGGAAGAAGCGACTGGACGAAGAAAGAGAATTACCTAAACAGAAAACTACCTGTTAATTCAACTGGGTCTCGAAGTATCAACTCGAAGATGTGTGAAGATAGTGTGAAGATTGACAGGCAGTGGGGGAAGCGACTGGACGAAGAAGAGAAGAGAACAGAAAACAGAGGAAAGAGAACAGAGGAAAGAGAACAGAAGAAGAAAGAGAAGCGATTTGACGTGTTGAATAGTTTCCCGCCTAAGCTAAGCTCCGTTAACAGTGGAAGGAAGCTCCGTTTTCACTGATTCCAGTCAGCATCCTAGTCAGCATCCCATTAACATTTCTGTTTCTCACGGTGAGAAACAGAGATTTCCTCCTAGAAAACTTTGCAATGATTCTATTTGGTCGTGGAAAGAGGATGTGCCCTGCCTACTCTCTTGGCGTTGCCAACCTTGAGCTCGCGCTTGCCAATTTGTTGTACTCTTTTAACTGGGAGTTGCCTCCGGGTGTAAGCAAGGAAGACATCGACAACAACGTGTTCCCTAGTATTGTGATGCATAAGAAGAACACCCTTTACCTTGTTGCAAACAAATACTAATCAATATATGCATGTTAATTGCCTCCTCTTCCTCCTCCGTCGAGTTTCAAGCAGTGGTCTTGTTAGGCTGAAAATAGTCAATTTCTTTAGAAATTATACTATTTTTACCCTTTGTTTAATTCAGTTATAGTCTCCAAGTATAATAAATCTACATGCATGCATCTTATAAGCTAAGCGTAGTTTATTTGTTTTTGTTTGAGTTATGTTTAGTTTGAGTTTTTTGAATTTAATATCTTGTATGAATTTATATGTTGATGAGAGAGGATGGGTGGATTATAGGAAAGACTTTTCAATGGCTACATTTTAATATAGCCATTGTAACTAGTTTTAATTTTGACCGTTCAAATGTTAGGGTTTAATCTACTCCGTTCATGTAGTTATTTGATATAAAAAAAATATAATTGAAAAAAAAAACTGTTATTATATTTCGTACTAAAATAAAAATGGTTTTTACTCAAAAACAAAAAAAAAAATCGCCGTAAATGGTTGTTTCTCTACCTCAAAACAAAGGACATCTCCATCAAATATGCAATTGGATTTTTTTTCCCACCCAAATTAAACATTCATCATCATCATCATGCCTTACAAAAATCACCCAACTCCCATCACCCCATGTAGGACGACGTGTGAGGAATTGTAATCTAGTTTATTAAAAAACAAAAAAAAAAAAGTAATCACAAACAATGTCTACCGTAACCGGATCTTAGCAGTAATTTTTGTTTCTGGGAAAATCTTGAACAATAAGGAGAAGGGAGGAAAGCAAAGTATACAGTAAGATTAAAAGATAGAAACTAAAAAAAACGTGTAGGTTTTTTTTTTTTTCTTTTTCTTTATTTATTTTATCAAAATATTTTTTAAAACCACAAAGTCATCCCATAAACGGTTTGAATTAGTCAAAATTTAATGAATGATTAAGATTTAATTTAGTATAATGGTTATAATTTTATTGTAAACATTTAAATACTATCCGTGGATTATATTGAAATTTGAACTTTTAATTTTAATTTTTTTAATTTTTATATTTTACTAAATTAAATGAATAAGATGAAATCATTTTCTTGGCTACAACAAATCAATATAGTTTTATTTTGTTAAAAGTGGTATGAAACGATGCTGTGTTAGATGAACATATGAATTACATACAAGAAATGTACGAGGAAACAGTACATTAGCCAACACTAACCATCTAACAAGCAATAAAGGTCGAACATTACAACAACAATAATATCAAATCATTTTCAACACTAACGATTGAATTGTTATTAACAACATTTCATTTCAAAGTTTCTTGTAGATGAAATTTCCAGTTGGAGTCTGATACCCAACACGAATGTCAGCTACATGCTTAGTGATATGAGGAAGCAAGCTAATACTATCCACAAAGTCTTCCGGCATTTCAACGATATTAAGAGAAGTAAGCTTAGTAAGGTATTGGAGACCATGGGGCACTTCTTTAAGCTTTGGAGATCGAGTAATCAAAAGGTCTTCGAGTATAGGCAAAGCACCACATTGTATTTCAACTAGGTTTAGATTGATCAAGGCGTTAAAATACAAGGCCTTGAGCTTCATGAACCCTCCCTCTTGGAAGACTAATCGTTCACCATAGTATACATCTTTATTGATTCCGAGCATTGTCAGATTAGGCAAATCTTGAAGGATGTCGAATGGGATATCTTCTAGTCGCGATCCCTTGAATCGCAATTTATTCAAGTTCTCAAGTTTGCCTATCCAATCCGGAAACTTTTCTAGAGGCCCAGCCAAGTAGAGACGTTGAAGTTGTAAAGGCGGAGATGTTATATGTTGCAAGTCAAGAGGATCACAACTCTCATAGTCTACTGAAATATTCAGTGACTCAAGGCAATCGAGTTTTTCGATGGCCTTGCACAAGATCCAACTATTCTCTCTTTGATATTTGAGATTGCCAAATACCTAAGCTTCTTGAAGGCACATAGTTGATCAATAAAGCCGTCGCTAGTGGCTATATTGACATCCGCGAGTTTTTGTAGGTTCTCCAAGCCACCTAATGCACCTTCCGGTACCCTCACCGCTCGTATCTCCCAAACTTTCAAGGTGTTATGCCATGTGTTTTGATACACAATAAGGTGTCTTAGCCTTCTTAAGTTACCAACCTCAACCGGAAGCTCACATACCGGACACTTCTTGAGATCCAAAGTTAAGAGATTGATAAGCTTTCCTATTGTCTTAGGAATTCTCTTTACTTTGGTAGATCTCAAGCTTAGGTATTGCAAGAGAAAGAGTTCGCCTATCTCCGTAGGAAGCTCTTCGACGGGTGCAGCTTGAAGATCAAAGACTTTTAAGAGGTAAAATCTATTCAAGAATGTGCTACGCAAAAGTGTAGTTGCTACTTCCTTAACTCCGAACGTGAACAATGGTCGAATACTACACTTAGTAGTAGTACTATTGATGTACTTCAAAGCTTCATTTTGAAGACTATCTTCTTGAATTGATAAGCGTCTACTTTGTATATTAACCTCACGATTCTCCTCTTTTGCCATCAAAATTTGACCAAAATTTAACTCTTCCAATTTCTGTCGAAGTATATCATGTAACAAGTCATGTACACGAATAGTCCTAGCCCTTCCACAATCGTACCACGTAGAAACTTGTACCAAGTTTCTTTGAATAAGCTCAAGCAAATATTCTTTCGCGACATCTTCAACAGTTATCCCTCTCTTCTCCTTAATCAAGTCCTCGGCTATCCATAGCTTGATTAACCGGTTACACTCTATTGTTGAACTCTCAGGGAAAATGCTAAAGTAAATCAAACACGGCTTCAAAAAATGAGGCAACCCATTGTAGCTTAGTAACAAAATCCTCGAAATGTTAGATAATTGTGGATTTTGTTCAAGCTCACTACCAAGGCTATCCCGGAACTTCTTCCACTCGACGAAGGCCTTGGCTTTCGTCGATAATAGACCACCCAACGTGACAAGCGCGAGTGGTAACCCGCCACACTTGGCAATAATACTATGCGTTACCTCTTCTAACCATTGAGGACATTGACCGCCTTCAAATGCCTTGTTACAAAAGAGTTTCCATGCTTTGTTATGAGGCAGAAGTTGTAACTTGTAAATGTGATTTTTAGTCCATGATCCCTTCCAATTGAGAGCCACATTTTCTTGCCGTGTTGTTAGTACGATCCTGCTACCGTTGTCGTCGCCGGGTCAAGCGTTTTTCACGTAATTCCATAGCTCCGGCTCCCATACATCATCACATACAACCATGTACCTAATATGAAAATCAATAAACCATAATTTTAATTTTCTATAACTAGCTATTTATTTATTTTATTTCTACTTTGTATTATGTATTTATGTTTGACTGTACTTTGATATTTTGTTGTTTTCAGCTAGAATTTCGATACTACGGAGTAGTTAAATGGATAATCACTGCAGGATTATATTATGATCTATTAAATCGGAATACATTGTTTACATTTTTTTTTTGTAGATGAAATTTCGTTTATAGTTTAAGAAGAAAGTACTTTCTTCGATTGTGAAAATTTACTCACTAACTATTTATGTGATCTATATATGTATATATATATTAAAGAAATAATAATAATAATAATAATAATAATAATAATAATAATAATAATAATAATAATAATAATAATTAATAATTAATAATTAAAAAAAATTGACTGTATTTAATGATTTATATAAAAAAATGTAGCTAGCATGTAAGGTTTTCTTAGATTTGTCTTAATATAAAACTTCAGAATATATAATTTTATTTTTTTTTGCAATTGAAGATAATAATTGCTCAACGATAAACACTGAAAACCTTATAAAAGTAAATAAAGCTAGTCAAACTTTTAGGAATAAAAGAAGTATAATGCTTTTTGTGTGTGTGTTTTTGTTTCTATGGTTCATTTACCAAGTAACATTTAACAAATTGAAGAAACTAAAATTTATCAGAAACAAAAAACATTGGACTTTTTTTTGGCACCAATCTTATATTCTTTGGTCCAGCCAGCAACGAAATTGGCAAAAAAACCAATCACGAGAAAAGTTTTACCTTTACCCTTGTTAAAGTCAATTTTTTGGCCATCAATTTCACTAATTATATACTTCGTATTTGGAAAAATGAATAAATATTGAGAGTTTGACACTAATTTAACAACATTTTTCACACTAACATGTAATTTGTTTTTATAATAAATTAGTTAAATTTAAAGTCAAAATTATGAAAATAGAGCAAAAGTCAAGCTATTACAAGTATTAAGATATGAGGGAAGTATATATATTCGCACCTTTTGTCTTCTAAGAAGGTCCGTAGTTCACTAACTAGTGACATTTCATCCATTTGATGAACTTGAGCAGGAATAGGTTGCATAGCACTATTGTAAAACTCTTGAAGCATCCTTCTAAACACATCCTTCCTATTGTAAAATTGAGTTACATTAACCCACGCACGTACATAGAAGTGTCGCTTCATCTCTATGTTATCATACACCTTCCAAGCAAGAGTAGTTTTTCCGATCCCTCCCATACCAACAATCGATATTATCAAGCACCTTAGATCTTTCATATCCAAATCTAAAAGCTTTAAAATCTCACTTTTAGGATCCTCGATCCCAACAAGATCGGACTCTCTAGGGTAGAGAAATCCGACCCTAGGATCTTGCCACATATGTGCACATGCACGTGGTGATTTACTTGTACCTGTATCTGTATCCGTATTCATATTTTGACCAACTTTCTCCGTGACCTCAAGATTGTACAATACTTTTCTTTGTTGGATTTCAAGGACTTCCGCTTTGATATCAGCAATAGAGCTAGCAATCTTTCTACGTGGGAACCACTCTTTAATATATTGAGTAGCTTGACATGAGAGTATGCTCAAGGTGAAGCTTAAGCAATATAGTTCGTCAGCTTGATTTTTCCGTCTTGTGTATACAAGCATAACATGCTCATCGATAACGTCCTCCATTCGGTACGCAACGTCTCTCACTTGCCTTACCCAAGCCTTCACTGAGTCACTTCTCTCGCCTCGATCCTCCGCATCTCTAAGGAAAGCTGTTATGATTTGTAGTTCATTCTTAATAGATTCAAGCTCTCTTGAAAGACCCAACTCAAACTTAATTTCATCTGTTATTTTTTGTGTTATGAGACAAGTAATCTTAAGAATTACTGTGGACATAATTGCCTCTACCATTTTTACTTGGCTTTACAAACTCACAATACATGCTACAATGTTAAGTGTTACAGGGAGTTACAACTAATATAGATTTATATAGTTATTTTTTTATTTTTTTTTAATCGACACGTATTGACTTTTAACTCTGTTAATAAAACCTATTTTGAATAACTTTTGTGATTTAATAAGAAAAAGTGGACTACGAATTGACTTAAAAGTAGATAAAGAAGTCGTTACATTTTAATTAAATTAAAGATCGATTTTTGCCATAAAATACATAAATAGTTGGTAAGCTTTCGCCCATTATTATTATTTATCGATTGAGCTAGCTTGCTTTCGTCCATTATTTTTGACTGAGCTAGAATCTAGTTAAGTTGGAGGATAATAATTACAATAACCTTAAATTATTTAATGGTTCACCTAACGTATTCTCTACCCTTTGCAGAAATACAACCAATTAGGTTATGTTACAGTTTTTAATAATGGAACCACCGATGATATGAGGTGCTATAAAAAAAAGAAGTGATTCTATCATTTATATGTGGAATCTACTCACACAAGTGACTTTTCGTATGTATGAGCTGCCATCAGTGACAATAATTTTTAACTATGTTTTGCAACTTTGCCTATAAAATATTTCCTCCTCCATATATAAAAAGATATCGCTAGCCACGCCAGTAGCCACTAGACATATTAGGTCGAGTTAGCTTGAGTCAAGTCACATTTTATATACCAAAAGCCTAAAAGGATGGTAGCTTTCTCAGCAAATTTCGGGAAATTCCCAGCAGCCACACCAATTTGATGTGTATTTTATGAAATCTTCAGAAAATTTAGGGATATGAAGCTATTTAATCTAACCAAGACTAAATAACAACTAAATTGGTAGCTTTCTCAGCAAAATATCATATGCAATTCTCTTGCTAAAACAATTCATACAAATTGATTAATTACAACTCAAAACTTCTCTCCCGAAAACGTTACAACCTAAAGCCCTTTATTTAGGCGAAATTAACTCTAGAATTTTGTAAAAACCAAAAATAAAGTAATTTGTAAACTAAATCTATTAAAATAGAAGATAAATAATAATTAAGTATTATCTATAATAACCACCCAAAAGATATACTTTAAATGATTATTCTACATATCTTCCTAATATGCATCATCAAGCCTTATTTGGCCTGATGAAAATTGTATACTTCGTATGTATGTCACAAGTTCAAAACGCAAAATTAGTGAACTAGATTGCTTTAACATGAGACAAGACATGACAAGCACTGCCCAAAACCATGTATTTCCTCCTACTGATCATAATTAACCCTTTTCTTTATATGGCGGAATAAACTATTTAATTTGTAGTTTCACTTTTAAAACATATTGGTGAAATGTGAAATCAACAACTATAAGACTACGACTCTATGAGAGTACTTAGCTTTTCAAAATGATCTAATGATATATTATAATATTGTATCTACTAAAAGGCTATAATAAATGAGAAAATATAAGTTAATCTCTTAAATTAATATCAAGGGTAATTTTGTATTTTCTCAGTCAACCCCCTTTCTCTCTCCTCTATCTACACCATCAGCCCATTACCGTCACCACCACACAACCATACGCACCACCCACTGCACGACCACTAGCACCACTGCACGACCACTGTACGTCTGTTAACACCATCGTGCGACCACCGCACGACCATTAACACCACCACCACATGACCATTAGCACCACCACCCAACCATTAACACCACCACACGAGTAAATTCCTTTAATTTCCCTAAAGGGTTAGTATGGGATCAATTTACATGCTTTGCAACTAGGGTGTCTTTTGTTTGGTCAGCCGGTCGGCCGGATTATAGCCACAACGGTGGTTGTGCGAAGGAGGGAGAAGGAATTGCTTTGGGAGGGGAGGGGAGGAGAGAGAAGCATATTAACATATCTTGTTAATATGTGATATCAAAATAATCTAATGATACATTATAATATTATATCTACCAAAAAGCTATAATATATATATTAGGGGTTATAATAAATAAATCCTTAGTGTAACCGAAGAAAAAAAATTAACAAGTAGCAAAATACCATCAAGTATTCGATAGTAATTAAAGACGATTATTATAAATCAAATTGCGTAGTTCCACGAACTTGCTTTGTGCAACTACAACAAAGATACGTAGTAGTAAAATAAAGTCGACGAGCCAACGAAAAATAGCGGTTTTCGTTTTTTTTTTTTTACTAATATTTAAATCATTTGTTTTGAAAGTGCGCTAGGTATAAAGTGATTTCAAACCTAAATCTTGTAGTATTAAAATAAAAAATAATACGAAGTTAAACGTATGAAGAAGGTGAACATAATATTTAGTATTTTTCTAGGACGCCTTTCATTATACTTCGTATTATTTATTACAATGTTAATAAGATTTGTGTACATGTTCCTAGGTTATTTTGTATGTCACTACTATACATTTGATTTAAGGTCTTTTTAAAAAAATTTGGTCTGAACACCATCCATGTTTATCCTTCTTTTAGTCGAATATTTGATGTAAAACAAGTGACTTTGAATTTTGATTCGTAATTTAAAACCAATCCCACATTCCTACTCCACTTTTGAATTGTCTTTGTTGATATGATGTAATTAAGTTCTTATGAGAGTACATGATAACGTTCCTTAAGGTTAAAGGTGAAAGTAGAAAGTGAACAATTATTTGCGGATAAATCAAAATAGAAATATACAACCTATTATTTAAGGATTGATGGAGATGGAGTACTAATTTATGATCCATTCTAATCCTCATCTAGATATATTATTCTAGTACTCAAGGAATCATGAAGATATTATTAGGGTGAAAATATTATCATATTGGGTATAAATAATAAGTTGAAGTTAATTTCTTTATTTGTAGATTTCTTAACTCAGGAGTATCAACTATATCCAAATATTTTTGATTCATTTGAGGATCTAAGGAGAATAAACTATAAGGATCATCTTTAATTTATTTGTGTATAAATTCATGCATGCATGTGCTTAGTTGTTACTTGTGATTTCGAATTATTCTTGCCATATGGCTAGATAGATACATACAATGGTGCTCCAATTATTATGAATAATAATTTATTTACACAAAATCATTTAATTATAATTGTTTCCTTTACAATTTAGATTTATAGAAAAATCAGCAACAATTTTGTGTATAAATACTCATAGGTTCTAAAACTTCATATTAATAGTATAGTTGGTTCAAAAGAGATCAAGATGGTAAACTAAAGTTGCTCTTGTTCAATAATGTAGTAATCAACTTGATTAATTTAATTCATTTTTCGTATTCGTTTGTAATAGGATACATACTTCTTGATGTTGGTTTATTCACTTATCTTGATGACATTATGGAATAATGAAGTACATGCTCAATCCGAACAATCATTCAATTTGTTGGATTTTGGAGCTATAGGAGATGGAAATATAGATGATTCTCAGGTAAATTTTCTTCGAGAATCTGTTTTAAAAAAATTATTTTTGTGTTTCTTGAAAAATATTATAGAAATAGTGAAATTTTACAAGCGTTGACAAAAGCATGGGAAGCAGTCTCCGAAGAACACTCTTCTTGTTCCAAATGGAAAAACCTTTTTAGTAAAACCGTTGAAGCTTCAAGGTCCATGCAACTCTCCTAATATCAATATTGTGGTAATGAAAACTTTTCTATACACCAAAAATGAATGTTGCATATATATAATTTGCAACGTATTTGATATTTATTAGTTAAAAAAAAAAAAAAAAAAAAAAAAAAAAAAAAAAAAAAAAAAAAAAACCCACTACTTAGCTAGCTTGGTTTCTGTTTTTTTTTTTTTTTTTTTTTTTTTTTTTTTATTAATGGAAAAGTGAAATTATGCGCCATGAACTATCAATGTCAAATCCAAAATAAATTAAATGAGAATGCAAATAAATCTCAAGTTGATACAAAAAGCTAAGAGATTTTAAATAAATCTCAAGTTGATTCAAAAAGAGATTTTAAATGAGAAATTCAAAATAATTTTCAGTGTCTCTACTTTAGGCACATTTAATTTACAAACATGGTATATTGTTTGATCATTAATATATTCGATTATTATTGCTATTAATTAGAAAAAGTATTAATAGAAAAAACCTACTATATTTGGTTTGGGTGACTAAAGAAGAATTTCCTTTAAATTTTTAACAATTCTTGAGAATAATAAATTAATATGGAGTAAATTAAAATTTTCTCTTTAATTTCGTTTAATATCAACTAGAATTTTTCAAATGAAAAAAAATATTCTTGCTTGTCCCATAAGGTCCACATAAAATCCTAGTATATATCATCGGGTTACATTTCAAAGCTATTGATCATTTGATAAACAAGATTTAGCACGTAAATTTATTACATGCAAATTATGTGAAATTGTATCCTAAATTCCTACAATTTGAAGAAAAAATGATGTAGATTTTGGGAAAAATAATTGGACCAAAATCACTATCTGATTATCCAACACCAACACCAGATAGTTGGTTGGAAATTTCAAAGGTTGATGGACTGTATGTTAGTGGAGATGGAATTATTGATGGTAGACGACAAGTTTGGTGGAAGACTTGCCGAGTGAGTTCATCACCTACTTAATAATTTTTTATTACTCCGTATTTTTTTCAAATACTAGTATTACGGTATATACATACTCTGTACTTTGTATATCCTAATTAATACGAGTAACATATTTTCTTATAACTTTTTTATTTAATTATTTATTTTTCGCAATATTGGCAGGGAAATGATTGTCCTCGAAGACCAGCGGTAAGCTTCATAAAATTTCTACAACTATAGGGGGTGTTTAATGGTTCAATTTGTTTATAGGATAAGGAGGATAGGGCAGAAGAAATCTAATGTTTATTTAGGGAATGTGGATTAGAGAGGGAGGGGTAAGGATATGGATAAAACACCTCTTTAATCCAATCAAATTACAGAGTATATACCTATAAATGAGTTGGATATACCTTTGGTATAAAGGTGAAGGATTAAAAAATGGGAAGGAAAAGACAAAGTTCCCCTTTAATTAATGAAAAAGAAAAAAAAAAAAAAAAAAGTGAAAAAGTTAAACATGATTCAATGAGTTAAAAGAAATGATTTTGATGCACCAAAAATTAATTTTGACATATCCAATGTGAGAACATATAATTTTTTATGCTCTTAATAACACAAAGAGGTGTATCAAAATCAATCAAAGGTGGACCAAAATCAGTTTTCAATAAGTTATAGCAAGCTCACATAAGCTCAATTGTGTCTAATAGATGAAAAGAATAGGATCATATAATTAAACCTTTTTTTTCCAACCCTAATTAATACTTAATATAATTTACAACTAATTGGACAGACAGCGGCATTCATCAGTTGCAACAACCTAACCCTTCGAGGTTTAACATTTGTGAATAGCTCAAGAAATCATATCTCCATTAGAAGTTGTAACAATGTTATTATTTCACGTCTCATAATACAAGCCCCTGGTGATAGTGTCAATACAGACGATATTGACATAACTTTTTTCAAGTTTTGTTGCGATCAACCAATGTTACATTGTAACAGGTAAGTACGTAAAAAGTAAGAACATTTTAAGTATTGTAGGTGGATAGTAAATTTATCAAGAGTTTGTTTAAATAATAAGGATATGTTATAAGCAAAGTGTATACTTGTTGCTACAATTGCATAATCCAAAGTTGAGCTTGCGCACGTGTAAATAGTGAGGTACTTTGTATTATACTATTATTATATGTCATTGGTGACTTTAAACAATTATGTGTTTTTACAAAATATGGAGTCTTAATTAATAATCTTTTTCCTATAATGTTACTTATCTGATATATGCAGCATGTTAAGTGAACTAATTTTACCAAATTTGGCAAATTATTTATCTTTCTATTGTATAATTTTCTGACTCGTATTTAACAATATCCTAACTAGGTGATGATTGTGTTGCTATAACAAATGAATCACATGATATAAACATAACCAAAGTTCATTGCGGACCAGGGCATGGCATCAGGTGACATATTTATAATTCTAATAATAAGTACTTGTAATTTTTAAGAATATCAATACATTATATTTTGTTTTTCAAAAGTTAGACAATTTTGTATGATAATGATTTTAGTAAATATTAATGGAATAACTTCAATTGATGCACACCAAAATTCTGGTGAGATACCAGTATTGGAAGCTTAGGCAAAGGGGGAGGCAATGATACTATACAAAATGTACATGTGTGGAATTGTACTTTCAAAGATACAACAAATGGCGCCCGAATTAAAACGTGGCAGGTAATTATTATGTACGAATTACATTGACATACTCTTAAGATTCGGAAGGAGTATTATTAATTTTGACTATAGATTTCAGACTGACAATGTGCTTTTGTTCTTTTCAATAAAACCTTGGATTAACTTTTTGGTTTGCAGGAAGGGTTAGGATTTGCTCGAAACATCATCTACGAAGATCTTTTGTTTGAAAATGCTTCTAACCCCATCATTATTGATCAATTCTACTGTCCTGGACAATAGTGCAAGAATTAGGTAAACAAAACACATCTTCAACCCCCCATGCTTATTGATCTTATTAAAACTCATTCATCTTTCGGCTTTTGGTAACAAATAAGATAATATTCCCTCCGTCTCTAAATTAGAAGTAATAAATATTAGAAATATGCTTCTAATTAAGGAGCGGAGTGAGTACTAAACATCTAAATATTTAATTAATATTTAATTTAACAAATAAAAATAGAAAACTACAGTATTACTAGTACTTTAGAATATATTTTTTTCTTAAAAGATGGATGGTTGGATACATTTATTTTAACTCCTTATATTCCGAATTATACTCATATCATATATGTAAAGTATGACTAGTACTATTTTAACGTGTTTTGCTTTTTTCATGGTACATTCCGTATCATATATTCACGAAAAAAGCCTAGATTTACATAATTTGCAATAAGAATTAATAAGAAGTACTATTTTTTGCAGACAAATGCAGTTAAAATAAATGATGTTGCATTTAGGAGAGTTTCAGGGACATCGCAATCAAAAAATGCAATTATATTACATTGTAGCCAAACTTTTGGATGCTCAGTTCAAATTGAAGGAGCTAACATTATATCTTCTAAGCCTGGGGAACAAACTTTGGCTGATTGCTTCAATGCTCATATTCAAAATAGCGACTCGTCTAATAATGTACCAAGTTTAAAAGATTGCCATAAATAATTGTCATTATTAGTGCAAAAAAGGTATCAAAAGCAAGTAATTTGTAACGACGAAAGGATTAGTGTGTCGTTGCAAATGTCTTGTTATAGTTGTAATTAAAAATTCTACGGGGTAATTATTAAATAAAGGGCAAATTCTCGTGAAAGACTGTCTTATACTTCCTCCGTTCTAGTAATATTGCAACAACTGAACTTTTATACAATTCATCACGCTTATTTGACCATATATTATGATTTATACGTAAAATAAAATATAGTTATGTGGAGTCTAGTTAGATTCGTCTCGTAAAATATTTTCACAATATCAACTTTTTATAATATTTACTCTTATATAATTATAGATATTTAACATATAAAATGTGCTTGAAGATGCGTAATTTCATCATTGTTGCAATATTTGTGGAACAAAAGAAGTATGTTTCACCGATAAGGGATAAAAGTACCGTAATAAGTAAGTCCCGAATTATTTTGTTAACCTTACAAAAAGTAATATATGTAGAAAAATAATTAAGTTGAATTGAATTGATCTGTGAGAAGTATCAATTCATTTGGTCAAAAGAGTTTTTTTTCCTTACCTTAAAAAACCACAAGTACAAGATTACAACATTGATGAAGCTAAATAATCAAATAAATCAAAACGCCAAAAAAAAAAAAAAGACGGTTGTTTTTCCTCTTTTGGTAAAGGTTACATTTGTAAAAATTTTAAAACTTAATTGATAACATAATTCATTAACTTGTAACATTTAGGTGTAAAACACCCAATTTTCTCTCAATTATCTTGTACATGCACAAAAAAATCTAACCTTGTGTTACAACCTTCCAACAATCAAATCCTATCTCCTCCTAATTTTCCTCCATCGTTAATCTCCTTCTCTCCTACCTCCTCCTGCCAACAATGGGGAAGAGGGACCTTGAGACCGGCATAGGCGGTACATTCTACCACTACACACCACCACCGCCAACCATCCACCCGCCGCCTAGGGAACCATATCTTTCATGGCTAGTTCCTCTCATCTTCATAATCGACGTAGCTTTATTCGCCTTAACAATGTACGAAAACAATTGCCCTGAGACCCTTGTTGATGACCCTGATCACCAATGCATTTTTCAAGAAAAATTGGGCAGATTCTCCTTTGAGCCTCTTAACCGAAACCCTCTCCTTGGCCCTACTACCTCTACGTAAGTCTCTTCTTTTTCCTACTTATTATGATATCATGCATTTGATGAAATTTGCCATTATTATTTATGTATTACTATTTTTATTTCAACATATAGATAGCAAAGATAAAAAAAATTAAATGTTGGAATCTATTTTTTTTTTTTTATTTTAAATTGTTATTAAAAACTTCATTGCATCTCATTAAAGAGTTGATGGATATTTTGAAAGATTATCAATAATTTTCAACAACTTATTAAGATTGAAAAATAAAATAAAAAAATCTATGATTTAAATTTTTGGCCTTTATAAAAATTTGTTTGTTTGATAGATAAGAAATTACATTGTAACATGCCCACAAACATGTCCACAACATGATAGTGGTTGACATCCACATAAATTTCATGTATAATAGTAACATTTAACCTATAACTTCGTACCTGTATATAACTTTGTACACTAAACACCTAATGTTGGTGAAAACTTGATTCAGGCTGCAAAAAATGGGAGGCCTTCGGTTAGAGCTAGTATTACAAAATGGTGAATGGTGGAGATTATTTTCTTGCTTATGGCTTCATGCTGGAGCTGTACATTTGATAGCCAATATGATCAGCCTTCTTTTCATGGGCATTCGTGTTGAAGAAGAATTTGGATTTTGTAAGTGATTTACTATACTTCGTATGATTTTTATTTGCTCTAAATCACTTGAAACTATGAGCATGCCAAGGTAATTCTCAACTGATATAATCTCCTAGAACGCCCCGTTTGGTAAGCAGTAATAAAAGACGACAGTAACGAAAACAAGTTTGCTAGTAATTTTGTAAGGAAGGTTTCATAACAATGTAGGAGATACATGTAATATAAGTACTCTGGATTTAAAGGTAGATTGAAGCCGAATGAAAGAGGGAAAAAAAAAAACTCCTTATTCCTTATCTTAGTATCTTATACAGTAACAATGAACATATATACTTCTGTATAATTGCAGGGAGAGTAGGACCACTGTTCGTGCTATCTGGATTAGGAGGAAGTTTGATGTCTTGCCTGAATGCCCTCCGCCACCAAAAAATCGGGGTGGTTTCAGTTGGTGCCTCAGGCGCGCTTTTTGGACTTCTTGGTGCCATGCTTTCGGAGCTCATAACTAATTGGACTATTTACGCCAACAAGGTCACTTTGTCATTTCTTTTGTTTACTACTCCTTCCGTTTAATATTTATGTTTCATATTTCTTCTTTGCTGCTAGATAGGTGATCTTGATGATGAAGGTTTCATTTTGTTAGAAACAGAAAGTTTTTCGCTTTTTGATGTGATTAGAATTCTGACCAAAGCCACAAAAAGTTAACTCTTGGTTTATAATTTGCATGGAATCAAAAAAGGAACATTTCTGAGATTAAAATTATGATTTTTGTTGCAGTGTTCAGCAATTTCATCACTTATGGTGGTGATAGCCTTGAACTTGGCTGTAGGATTGATCCCAGGGGTGGACAGTTCAGCACATATAGGAGGTTTCATTTCGGGGTTTTTGCTGGGTTTTGTTCTTCTAATGCGGCCTCAATTCGGTCATGTTAACAGCAAATACCTTCCTCCTGGCTACAAACAGAAATCCAGGCACAAGTGTTACCAGTATTTCTTCCTCGTACTCGCTCTCATCGCCTTGATTATTCTGTAAGTTTTATGCAACAAAATCTCAACCCATTTCTCTCTTTCCCTATTTTTTTGCTTTTGTTGGGAAATGTAGATTAGTGACCTTTAAAGAGTAATTTACCTGTCTTAATCTTTGACTTCTGCAGGTATGTGTGTGGATTTACAGAGCTTTTTAAATCGATCGAGAGAGAAAAATCAGAATAGCTTTAGGTTAATAGACTAATTATGTTTTCGACAACATCCATGGGCAAAAAATTTCATCATCTTGTATCAGTGCTCTACACAGAAAATACTCGATGTGGATCACGAACAACCAAAGAAATCCAGCTTCGTGGAGCTTATATAAACCTTACTGCTAAGTTTGCCTGCATCATATGCACCAATGTGGTTTCTTTCTTCTCATGCCTTTTTTTATTGCCCTCTTTTAATCCTTTCTTTATCATTCTATTATGCTCATGTAATGGTTTCAGAAGCTTAAGTAGTACTTTGCATTTGTTACGTTATTTGTGCTTTTGTAGTTTATCATTGGTTGTTAGCAAGATGAACATAAAATTGTGTTAATTGTGTTCTGTACTTCTGTTCCTCTAAATATTCAGCTAATTAGTGTGTTAAGATAGTTGTAAAGATATCTATGTATGTATACAATGACTTCTATATGCTCTCCTTTATCAAGTACAAAGGTTCAATTACAGTCGAAAGCTGAGCAAAGTGCTTCATCAACTTTCCATAACATTACCAATCTACCTGTATATTCAGATGATATTATAACTAATACTATAGCCTATCTACATATTTTAAATGATGACATTCACTGATCTGCATATATCTCGCATGACTCTGACTTACCAAATATGTTGTAACGGTTGTTTGCTACGTTGTCATATGCAAAATCACGAATGAACCTGTGGAAGTTACCAAAAAATAGAAGCTAAAGGTCAAATTAGAGATTCGCCAAGCTGCAAATGAGAAGTATGGATTATTTAATTTCTTAAACAGGATCAAAAAAGAAAAGGTTACTCACAGAGGTACAAGATTTAGAAATAATGCCAACTGTGGGAATGGTAAATTGATGTATTCCATGATCTTTAATACAGCTTCAGACTTGATGTAAGATCTGCAGAAAATACACGTTTGATTTTAAAAATTTATTGGTTCTGAGTCTCTGAGACATAAACTCGATGAATGTTGGTAAAGATTATCATATGCAGCAAGCTAGCAACAATCACATTATCCTCAGTGTATGGTGATGCAAAGAGTGAATGACATGCAGTTAGACACTGAAAATTTCAAAAAATTGGTGAATTCAGTATAATTCATAACAGTGGATACTAAGAGAAAAGAAACTTCTGTAATTCTCATTGATTGTGCACATTACTCGCATAAATTTCCTACATGACTCGATACAGATTGGTTTCCTCTCAGTTCTCATACAGGTTTATGAATAGGCAGAGCAGTGAATTCTCGTTCTACATTCTACTCTAGAATAGTAGGCCAATAAACTCAAATGATCTCAACAAAAAACTAGTCCTTCAATCCAAACTAATGTACTTAAGCATTTAGCTTCTAAGGCTATATATAGCATACCTCTCTTTTTCAACCAGGACAACACTGGATATATCATCAGGATTTCTTCCTGATCTCCTTAGCAACATCTTTCCCGATTCACTTTGTAAAGCTTCGTATCTAATATTCCTGCAATATAGCATCATATAAATTTTTTTCTTTTATACAGACATGCATGTAAATAGAATATCGTACTAATAGAATACGGCCTATAAGCACAAGGCAAACATTCCTTCGCATTTCTTACAGACGTTCATTTAGCCATGTAATACAATCATATGACTTCCTTCTGATATTAAGTCACTGATATGATAACTTCATAAACGGAGGAAAAAAAGGTAGAGATCTTCGTGGAGAAAGGGAAGGAACCAACCTATTGCGATCATTGTCACGAACAAACTTCACACCACCATTACACAGATTGCAAACACCTGATACATGACACAATAGTTCAGATAATGCTCTTACATAATGCTTTCCAAATAAAGCAAAAACGATCAAATTCTCTAACATAACCAAGCCTACCTAATACAGTTATGTCTGCAAACAATCACAAAGGCATGCAAACACAATCACAATCAAGTAAAAGTGCAGCTCTTCCAAATGGACCAAGGCCTAAGCTGTAAATGATATACGAATTTAAGAATTGAAATTTTCACATTGTAATGAAAATTCAATTTCATCCATTCTGAAATTTTAAAAAATCCCAATCAATCAATGGTACAAAATTAAAAATCCACCAAAACCCTAAGATTGAATCAAAGCACAATCCAGTTGCCCTTTAAGCCATTAAAAGAGCTAAACAACGTTAATGTGAATCATCCACTTACAAAGATTATTCCCCGGATTTAGTTGTCACGTTACTAGTTCATATTACAATTAATTCTCATCACATAATTTCAAACCCACACATTAATAATTAATAACTAATTCATTAAAAAGAATTTCATCACCAAACTTTAATATCAACGAAAAAATTTAGAAATTTATATAACAAATCTTCAAAAAAAAAAAAAAAAAAAAAAAAAAAAAATTACCGTCATAGAGCATGATTGGGCGGGAGTCCTTGTCAAAGAAAGTAGAAGTGGCTTCCATCCAATCCGTTTTATCGCCGGAGACACGTGTCGCCGACATAGAAATTATCGGAATTCGACGGGGAACCGTCGCTGCTAAGCTTAATCCGCCCGCAAACATTGTCGCCATTTTGTCAATAAAAAAGAGAGCTTCTGTTTCTGTTACCGTTTTTGGTTGTTTAAGAGTTTGCTTCACTCTTTTACAAGAGAAAGGCGTGTGTGCAGGTGATCCACGTGGATATTTTGTCACCATTTACCTATTTTAAGGTGTATTCTGTTTATAGGTGGATGATTACACCGTATGATCGGGGTTATTTGGTTAGAGATTGTGTTTTGTTACGGTGTGGTCAGTTACAAAGAAAACGAGCTAAAGATATGTATTATAAGACGCATTTTAGTGATATGTATATAAAGTTTAGGAAAAATACACTTTAATAATCCTAACTATTGTCGATTTACTTCTAATAATCCCAACTAAGGTTTACATGGAAAAATACACTTTAATAATCCCAACTTTGCCCGTTTACTTTAAATAATCCTAACTATTGATTATTCTGCATTAATCTCAACCAAGGTTATCAGGATCGGGATCCTACTTTGAATCGGTGAGAGGAGTAGGATCGAATCGGCAAAATCGAATAGTGGAATCGTAAGATTCTACAAAATTGATAAAAATAGTAATAAAAGGGTTGTTACATAATTAGATAACAGTTTTTAAGCCATAAAAATGGTAAAATTTAAAGTTTTAGTAGTTGGATAGTAATTTTCTTAGCTTAGAGAAAAGTTTGATTACATTAGGCTCATTTTAATAAGTAAAAAGTAAGATCGTACGATCTTGACCAATCCTACTCGATTCTGACTGATCCTGCACGATTCTATCCGATCCTGTACAAACTAATAATAGTTTAAATGAAAAACAGGATCGTCTGATCCCACCCAATCCTGTACGATCCTGACCGATCCCGTGCGATCCTGACCGATCCTACAACGATCCTGCTTACTCTGCGATTCTGTATCCGATGCGAATCATTTGGCTAAAATGGGATCGTAGGATCGCACGATCCTACGATCCGGATCGCGATTTTGACAACGATGATCCCAACTTTAGCTTACGTTTTCTTTCTTCAATCTCGATTACCGGTTACTCGAAGAATACGTTAAAAAAAAATTAAAGCAAGTTGTTTGCCACGTGTTGGATGTTCAACAAATAAAAAAAATTAGTTAAAGTTTCTTTTTTTATAAAAAAAAAAAAAAAAAAAAAAAAAAAGAAAAAGGAAAAACTATCCCCTTCCCACCGGAACTCTAGACCCCACCCACACCTTTCCCCTTCATACTCAATAGTGATGCACTCTGACTAAGGTCCTGTTCACTTCACCTTAAAAAAATAATATTAAGTAAAAATAATTTCATTTCAGTAAAAATAACTTCAATTCAGTAAAAATAAGTTCAATTCAGTAAAATTCAGTAACTTTAAAGAAGAAATATAATAGAAATTCAGTAAAAATAATTTAATTTAGCAAAAATAATTTCAATTTAGTAAAATTAATTTCAGTTCAGTAAAAATAATTTCAGTTTAGAAAGAATAAGGTGAAGTGAATGGGGCCTAAGGCTCCAGGCCCCATGCATCACTACATTCTGAGCTGACCACCATCTTCCATGCTATATTGCCTTTGAAAACAAACACAATTAATTCATTCCTAGCTAGATCGATACTCATAGTGAGCTTCCCATAAGGGCCATAACTAAGAGGGTTTTATTTGGAAATAGTACAAAGACAACTAGTGTGTAGTTGCAGACTTAATGCGCTTTTGGTGGTGTGGGTTGGGGTAGAGGAGGGGTTTCGAGGGGAGGGAGGGGGGTTACGAGGAAGGTGGTGGCGGTTTTATTCGGCGATGTGGGTTGGGAAGGGAGGCAACTTCGGCGGTGGACAGAAGGAGGGGGTTGTAACTGGTAGTGCGACAAGGGAGGGGGGTGGTTAAGTGGGTGGGCTGGGAATGGGAGGCTGCCAGAGGTTAGGGCTGGGAAGGGGAGGCTGCTGCAGGTTAGGCTGGGGTTGGGTTTAATTATTTTTTTTTATTATTATTATTTTTTTTATTTAATTTAATTTTAAATTATATCTATTTTTTTATTTATTTTTGGACCAATCACAACTTGACACGTGTCAGGTAACCTGGAATATCAGGTCATTGACTTTTGTTGACCAGTTTGGGATTGAAGAAAGAAAACACAGGTAAAAGTTGGGATTATTTAAAGTAAATTGAGCAAAGTTGGGATTATTAAAGTGTATTTTGTCCCAAAAATCAGTTACCTGCTAAAAGGGGTTTTTTTTTTTTATTTTTCAAACGTCAGATGTCATCACATGATTCACCAAAGTTTTTTTCTTAAAAAAAAAAAATTAAATAAATAAAAAAAAAGACAAAAATCGATCCCAACCAACCCCCACCATTCCCAGCCAACCAACAGCTAACCGGCCGGCCACCTCCCTAACCCCCCGAAAATGGTCGGCCGGCCCTCCCAAACCCCAGAACACACACACCCGATCCACCCCAACCCCCTAAACCAATCTCC